TCTCTCTCTCTCTCTCTCTCTCTCTCTCTCTCTCTCTCTCTCTCTCTCTCTCTCTCTCTGTGTGTGTGTGTGTGTGTGTGCTGAGCGGATATGTGAGTGGAAATTGTGTACCTGGGTCGCACTGTACAGGTGGAAATGTTTGCTGAAACGAATCATGAAGGGGTAGGACGTGCATGGGAGTGGTAGAGGGTTTTCAGCCAGATGGAGTCGATGGTGTATTTACGCCATGGCTTGCTCATTTGTCGTCCTAATCTCCTCCTCCTCCTCCGCCGGTCTCTTTACCTCTGCCTCTTATTTCTTTATCCCCTTCCTCCTCTCGTCCACCCTGTGCTCTTCAGTCCTCTGTGTCCATTACGTCTTCTCTCCTTCTTCTCCTTCTTCTCCTCCATTTCCGCTCGCACTCCCGCTTTCCCTCGCTGCCTCTCGCCTACTGACGGTGCCCCATCCTGCCCTTCCTGATCAGAGCGCAATTCACCCAATCTGGCGAAAAGTCTACAGCTAGTATCGGTGACATATTCTCAGGCGAGAGGCAGGGAGGGAGGATTAGCAGGCGGGAGGATGTAGAAGTCTCTACACCCACGTCCGTCTCTCTCCTTTTTGTTTTTTTATTTGCCGGCGAGAGGCAGGGACGAAGGGACCGTGTAAAAAGAACGGAGAATTAAAACAGAGGCTCCTTTTGTCGGACCCATGAGCTGTCGAGTCAAGATTTCGAAATTTTTATGCAGTTAAAAGAAGAAGAAGAAAAAGAAGAAGAAGAAGAAGAAGAAGAAGAAATTGTCCCTGGGGACATCCGTTAAAACTGGAACAATACAAGGAGGATTAGCATGGCTCCTGCGCAGAGATGACAAGCTTAAATGGAGAAGAAGGAAGAAGAACGAAGAAGCCTTTTCTGTGCAGTTGGAAGATTGGTGCATGTTTTGTCTGCAAAGAAAAAGAGTGGAGGACGAGAGGCGGGAAAGCCCTCGGGACATCCGTGAAAATTGGAACGATACAGAGATTACGAAGATTAGCATGGCCCCTGTGCTTTCAAGGATGACACGCATAAAAATCGAGAACAAAGAGAGGAGGAAAAAAAAGAAATGCGCAAGTGGGGGAGCGGGCTGGTCATAGGTGGTGCGATACTATTGGCCCCCACACAATAGCCTATCGTTATAGCTGTATTTAGTGAAAATATCAGGCCAGATACAGATCTGATGACGAGGCGTTGTGTTCGGGGGACGAAGTTAGAGTCGTGGATAACTACGGAAAGGAGAGAGGGGGGGGAGTGTAAGGGCATGCTCGCACTTGTAGTTTGCTGAACTACCGGTAGGACTACCGTTACGGGTGTAGATTCACTTGAGAAGTCGCAGCACTGTGAGTATGCCCTAAGTTGGAGCGCCGAGAGGCTATACTGGGAAACTTCGATTCGATTAAAACCCCGTCATTTTGAAGATTAACGGATTCACACTACGGCTGTCATCTCCCCTTCTTTCTTTTGATGGCATCGCTGGACCACTCACCCAACGAAAAAAATACACGTGTCCCTTCCCTAGGAGAGTGACGAGATATTCGGAAAATCGTGCGACTAAGAGTTCACTAACTTCAGGGCCATAAGGACCTGTTTAATTGAAAAAAAAAAAAGAAAAAAGAGTTCACTGACTTCATAGTAACGCCGATGTATATATTGCCAGCTTGTGTTTTACTTTTCTTCTTTTTGACGGGCTTGAGATATCATCGTGGAACTGACAAGCTCCAGGTAATTCAAGAGTTTCATTTCATTTATCTAGAGTTCCATCCGGACTCCGGAGTGCTACAGTGGTGGTGCCTGCACCGGCCGGGGAAGTCTTGCTTTAAAAAAATAAAAAAATAAAATCCATCCGGATCCGAACTCAGTATTTCAACAGTTCGTGGGGGTGAAGGGACTGAGGTAGGCCGGTTGGTTATTGCCAGCTTGTGGGGGTGAAGATGCACTCATTTTTTTTAATCGTTTCGTGAGTAGTGTGTCGAGGCCTTTAGTGGCCGACAAATGATCCTGAATATTGACGGATTCACCCTGTGACTGACACATGGAACTGATATACAGAAATTGATCCTCCTCATCCCCTTATATATATATGTGTGTGTGCAAGTGGGTCGATATGACACACGGGGGTGGGGGCAGCCGCCGCTCAACCTACATCCACGTGGGCGGCCTTCGTACGCAAGAGGTTCTGAACAGGGGGAGTTGTAAGGAAGAAGATAAAAAAAACGAATTCATTTTTTCTTTGTTTTTTTCGCTTTTGCGGTCTGATATTCATGTGACGATATATGTAAATAATAGCTTCTGCGTGTCATCACCCCTCTCTTTCTTCGTCCCCCGGTTATCCGTCGTCCTTCCTTCTTATCTCGTTTCTCCACCTCCTCACTTCTCCCGCTGGGGCTTACTCCCTCCCTATATGGCGGGCCAGAATGCGACCCTCGTTACTCGGCAGGCCTGTCGCGTGTTATCCCCCTCCTCACTGCGTGATAACGGTTGGGGGGGGGAAAGGGTTGGGGGGGGGAGAGGAGGGGGTTATCTTGAGGGGTTTGGAGAAGCAGGGGGTACCACCCTGGCAGGCCTGTGAGGTCGTCAAGTACATGTCTCTATGCTTATTCATCAGTTCTTGGATGCCTGAGTTCGTCCTAAAGAAATTCCATTATCTCATGAATTCATACCAAATAAGGATCTGTTAGCCCATTTTTATCCACGCTTTAGGGGTGGCTTGATACCATTTTTTTCTTCAGTGCGTTATCCCCCTCGTAATTGCGTGATAGAGTATAGGGGGGGGGGGGGGGGGGGGGGGAGAGGTCTTGAGGGGTTTGGAGAAGCAGGGGGTACCCAGCTCTGTTCAATTTGAGTTGTCGACCTCGTCTGTCCATTGCGGGATAATGTATGATGGTATCACCGCCAAGCCCTGACGATTTCCGATCGAAAAAGGCCGAAATTGCGGCCAGGAACATCAATCAAAGTTAAGTGCGTGAACGAGTATGATGAGATATATAGAACACGACGCAGCGTGGTACGATTGTGTGCAACACGATAATACTAATTACAAACCCCTTTTATAATCTGATTAATCTGATTAAGTTTCCTTAAGAATCTTTGGAATACCCAAGTTTACCCAGGTCAATTTGCCATGTGGTGGTTTTTACCCGCTCGATCAGAAAATCCAGATCTGGCCTGCACCGGGTTATCCATCTCGTAATTGCGTCACAAGGGTACTTGCGGGACTCTCGGGGGTGAGGGGGAAAGGGGGGAGAAGTGAATGGAGATGCGGGAAGGAGAATTACAGCTTGTTGATAACGACGTGCTCTCTCTGTCCCCCTCTTCTGTAGTAATGAAATGAGAAAAAGCGAAGAGCCAAGTAGGTGGTGGTTGTAAAAGAAAAGAAGTAGAGAAAAGATTGCTTGAGGAATACAAGTACAGATAGATAGATGGCACAAAGAGTAAGAGTACGAAGGAAAGAAAGCGACTTAGTGGTTTACGAAGGGCCATAAAATGAGAAAAAAAAGCGACTCTGTTGTTTCTGAAGGGACATCAAATGAAAAAAAAGCGACTTAGTTGTTTCATAAAGAGGAAGAGTACGAATGAAAGAAAGCGACTTAGTTGTTTCTGGAGGGACATCTAAAAATCGAATATGGATGGAACGACGCGTATGGGTAAAAATAGGGCCTCACTCCGCCACTCTCGACATGCACGAAAGACAAAAATCATGGCGGTGTATCTTTGGATGTTCTGGTGGAAGATTCACTCTCGTTTTGCACATGTGTAGCGTAGTGGAGCGAGGGCCATAGCCACATGGCTTTACATGGGTCGTGGTCCTTCAGCGGAACATCCCCCCAAAATGGAACGATACAGGGAAGATGAGCATGAGCCCTGCGCAGGATGACACTCGGAAAACGAGAAATGGTCCGATCGAAGATGGCCTGCGGTAAAAAAATTATTAAGAAAAAAAAATTAGGGCGCAGTAGGAGTTTGAGTTTGAAAATGTGTTTGAAGCTCTCTTTGATCCATGGATTTCCTGTTGGGAAACCGGAACGAAGTTGAGGCAAAAGGGCCGGTAATGGTGAATGAATTTATACGACCTAGGTTTCAGGTCGGGTGGGGTCACGTGGGGGTGTGTTGTGTTCGCGGGATCGCCTGAAGTGCATTTTCAAACTGTTTTCGTGACCACGTCGAAGTTTCCACAAAAGTTAAAAATAAAAAGTGCAACTTTCTTGGCCTTTTGGCTAAGATTAAGTGTTGTTGTTGTTGTTAGGGCGTCATTAGACACGTCTTACGAGTTCCTTGAGCCACAAGGCATTTTCCTTGTGCTCGTAAGGGAATTTTTTCCACACATCCTTGGGGGCATCCCCCGAGAACGTTTCCTTGTGCAGCACAAGGGAATTTTTTCCACACATCCTTGGGGGCATCCCCCGAGAACGTTTCCTTGTGGCCTGCACACGGCCATTGTCATATGAAAATACGCGGCCGCGGGCGGGGGTGTCCTTGGTCCAGCGTCCGTTGTCCATGTGGAGACGGTGTGGTCCAGCCACGTCCAGCGAGAAAGGGCACGAGGCAGGCCACAAAAAATAAAATAAAAAAGGGGGACCTCTATGTTCGAAATTCAAAATTTGAGGTACGGTTGTGGTGACGATGACAACGTTCGGCTTGCTGCGTGTAGACGGTGCAGGCCTGAATCGGCCTTAGCGGCGGTGTCCCTTTCACCCACCTCCCGGTCAGTGTACGTGCATGCACCGGGTGCGTCCATCGCCGTCGAGCTTCTCCTC